GGCGACAACTACAGCCGCCACCATCACCACGGCTGACACTTGCTGACGGGGAACAATAAATACGAGGATAAGGAGGCGTAACCCTGTACCCCCCCCCCGACACAGGTTGGCAGGTAACCACCAGGTGGAGCCAGATGGTCTAGTATATACACCAGGTGGCTACAGCTGGTGGAGTACTCCAGGAAAATAGTCAACACCTGTTGATAGTAAAGGTGTACAAAAGCTATTAGTGAGGTCACCTGTAATGGCCGTTGGGTAGGTGCTCGGAGCTATGTGAACAAGACCTAAGCTCATCAAGGAATTCTGCTTTTTTCACAAGTGTCATGAGTTGAGACACAATGAGGCAGGCTTCAGGCAACCCAACTCCAATCTTTGTTTTACGGGAGATAAGACACCAGGTGAGCTGTGACTCCGTCATCGCTCTTTCATTAGCAGTGGATATGTGTGGGGGATTAGGACTGTGTAAGTAACTAGTGTGAAGGTATCGAACTCTACGGTAAGAAATATAAGAAACACTTATACCATCCCCACATGAATCCGTGACAACAAGTAAACACAAGTAAGATAACATTCTATGTGTTTAGTTTACATAAGTACTTGGTGTATACTGTATACCATAGACTGTTAGAAGGACGAGCCGGAGAGGAGGGAGAGGGAGGGATGTTTATCAATCTAGGGGGAGGGGGGAGGCAAAGGGAAGGAGGAGCATGAGAGGGAGGGGAGGGGGGGAGGCAAAGGGAAGGAGGAGCATGAGAGGGAGGGGAGGGGGGGAGGCAAAGGGAAGGAGGAGCATGAGAGGGAGGGAGTAAATAGGTCTTAGACAATTTAATTGCACTGACAACCTTGATCTTGATTAAATATTATCTAGAAAACGGTTTTGCCAGTCACTCAGCTGTTATCAATAATTTCTTATAATCAGCAGCATTTAGTATCTTCAAACGAGTTGCTTAAGCTCAAACACAAGGTTGGCGCGACACACTTTTTCCTCAGCTGTAAGAAACTTCACAAAAAACACGGCTCAGATCATGACCTATTGAGCTATTAACTTACCATGACTGTCTGACTCCTCAGGTAAGACTAGGCCTACTAACACTCGGTCCTCTGGCACAGTATATATACACGAAAATAAGTTCCTCTTACTACTGCCCAAAATACATTCACTCATAATGTCCTCTTGGTGTGAGGTTGACGAAATATCACCGAATCAGCCAAAAAACACGAGAAAAACTTCCCTACTTCCCCCTCACTCTTTCTTACCACCTAAACACATGGAATACCTAAGTTCCCCCTTCGTTTCTTCTACGGTTTCTCTCTCTTTAAACACCGAACCTAACCTAACCTAACCTAACACTCCAACACGCTGGGAAGCTTCAAATATAGGATGGACGGATATATGAACGATAGGACTTGGGTGTCAATGGGACTGCCTACTATGGGCCAATAGACTCACTGCAGTTTCCTCAATTCTTATGTTGTTATTAACCCAAACGCTGTCTCCTGTTGGGTGGTGATACAAACCCGAAAGGAAAATAAATAGAAATGTCCCCCCTGTAATGTTCCAAGTTTTTGTTTTGCTTCCTAAGGTTGACTAACTGACGATTACATAACAGCATACAATTTCTCTCTCAGACACACACACAATAAATAAACAATAATGGTTGCCCCTCGTGTAACGAAGATGGCCGGCCCTAGGGCCACTTTGGTTTGAATTTGTTAAAGGTGTAGAAGCTGTCGCCAACACAACAACCACAAGTTACCAAACATCATCATTAACTCGAATACGCTGGGTAGCTTCAAACACAGGTTGGATGGATATATGAGCAATAGGGGTTGGGTGTAAACGGGACTGCCCAGTATGGCCCGCTGCAGTTTACTCCATTCTTATGTCTTTATGGTAATACGATCCGCAAATCGATTAACATCCAGGTCCCCAATTACTGCTGGGTAAACAGAGGCAAATGCCGTAAAGAAACTTGCCCATAGTTTCACCCTGCCCAGGGATCGAACCCGGGTCCGCTCGCTTGTGAGACGAGCATGCTGACCATTACACCACAAGTCACACACACGCACATCTAAAACCCGTAACATTGTTTTTATCTGTGTACGGTGATGAAAGTGGCCGTGAGTGAATCCGTGTGAGGGAGTGGAAGGGAGAGGCTGAGGTCGACGTTATCTTACTCTCTACCTGACTCTACCTGATCCATGGGGGGAGGGGAGGGGAGGTTACCACAGCCTCACCTGGTCTATCGGGGGGCTTACCACTGCCTCACCTGGTCTGTCGGGGGGGGGTTACACTGCCTCTACCTGGTCTGTCGGGGGAGGTTACCACGCCTCACTTGTCTATCGGGGGGGGAGCACTTCAGCAGGTAATGTGTGTTGTAAGAAGGTTGTGATCACTGCCCGCCATGACCACAACACTGACCTGATTATGAGGTATTACCTGATCATTTTCCAGGTTAATTAGCGTTTAAGGAAAATGACTTAACCCTTTTGTGGTCGATGGTTTAACCCTTTGAAGATGATGATTTAACCCTTTAAAAGACGACGGTTTAATTGAAAAAACTGGTTGAAAAATAGTTTTTTTTTGGGGGGGGGAGAGAAGTGCTTCCAAAATATGAATTAACCCTTTTACTACATTGATTTAACCCATTGAGTACACTGGCTTAACCTCTTGAATATATTGGCTTATCCTCTTGAGTACGACATCTTTACCTCTTGAGTACGACATCTTAACCTCTTGAGTACAATATCTTAACCTATTGCGTCAATGTTCGTATTACAACCCCAACATCGTCCCTACTTGATTATCTAACCCGCATCAACAAGGTCAGGACAATGTTGCTGGTAGGACTGTTGCCTCCCACACACTTGCTGGTAAACACTGTAACTTATAATGTTCTGAACTGTTGATGGAAGCGAAGGTATAAAGGTCAACTCGAATACATGTGATCTCGGTCTCTTGTGTATATCCGGCGTTGAGAGAGTTAACATGTGGAGAACGCTATAAGAACTCATACAAGAACGCATTGAAAACGCACATGAGAACGCAAAGGAGAACGTACAGTAAAACACACATAAGAACGCACATATGTCTGCACAGGAGAACGCCATAACATCGTACTGTGTATGAGAACGCCTTAAGAACGCACACAAGAAAGCACAGTAGAATGCACAGGAGAACGCACAGTAGAACGTAGATGAGAACGTACTTGAGAACGCCATAAAAACTCACATAAGAACGCACACGAGAACGCACTGTAGCATGCGCAGGAGCTACAATGACCGTGACGGGATATTGAGAAAAAACTCAGTAAGAAAATGTTGGAAGAAATAAAGTTCAACAATTGTAATAACGTCAGAGGAAATGCGGAGAGAGAGAGAGAGAGAGAGAGAGAGAGAGGTGGGAGAGTGAGAGGGAGAGAGAGAGAGAGAGAGGGGAGGAAGAGGGGGAGACAAAGTGAGAAAAGAAGAGGCGGTCAGACAGGCATAAAGAGTCAGATGGAAAATAATACAAACTCCTGCCAAGAGAGAGAAAAAGACCCATGTGATGTCAGTGTGTGAGGGAGGTGATGTCAATGTGTGAGGGGGATGATCAGTGTATGAGGGAGTTGATGTCAGTGTGTGTGTGTGGGAGGGGGGGGGGGTTAGTTTCAACACTGTTTCCGAAAAAGTTCTCAAAAATATACCACCAATAACATATACAAAAATGTAATATAAATTAATGAGGGTTATATCACTTAACATTATGAGTTACGCCAGTGACCTAACAGGTTTTATTGGCGAACCAAATGAACATAGGAAAAAAAAGCCTGCAAGGTGAAAAAACTGACCCTTTTTTATAACCGTCGTGTCAGAAGTTGCAATCATTGTTTTTTTTAGTTTTTTTGTTTACTTTTTGAAAGCCTGGGAGTTAAGAAGGTGAATGTGTACCTGAGGTGAGAGAGAGGGGCAAGGCGCCGCCAGCTCCAGTATATATATAATGGTGTTTTGGTCACTACTTCATTGTGCAGTCTGAGGAAACCCATTGATAGCCATGGTGGGTATACTCCCTGAGCTAAGACCCGTTCACAACACACACACACATACATACATTATTCTATATTATACACAAACACACACACACACACTAAATAATAATAGTTGGCCCTCGTGTAACAAGGATGGCCTGCCCAAGGGCCATCGAGGCGTGAATTTGTTTAAGGTGTAGAAGCTGTCGCCAACACAACAACCACACCCTGTGTTAACGAGCTGCATGAACCCAGTGTCAATGAATATTCCGAGAAGACCGGACAACTCACCATCTGCACTGGCTAACCATTACCCCGGAACACGATCCACAAATCGATTAACATCCAGGTTCCCAATTACTGCTGGGTAGACAGAGACAAATGGCGTAAAGAAACTTGCCCATAGTTTCACCCTGCCCGGGGATCCACTCGCTTGCGAGGCGAGCATGCTGACTATTACACACACAGGTCGCCACACACACACAGGATAAGCGTTAAGCTATACATCTGTCAGCGTTTATTGAACGATTACATGATAACAATAATGTCAAGTGATAAAATTTATTAGCCGACTGAATCATTGTATATAAGTTGTCTCGAGTCATTATAGTGAAGGGCGACTTTAACAGAGCAGAGTGTAGGTGTGTTCCATGGTGTCTTGTGTAGTGTCTGTGTATAGTGTAGTGTGTAGTGTGTGTGTGTAGGTGTAACAGCAGCAGTACACAGTCACACGTCCTTAATTATGTATATGTTACTCCCCGTCAGCGAGTGTCAGCCTTGGTGGTTAAGGACGGTGGTGTTCCCAAGCCTGCTGGTAAAGGAAGGAAAGGCGGCGGGGTTTCGAGGCTGGTCACCACGTCGCGCGACCAACAACACACGGTTCACTATGTGGTGCACCAAGGAGGGTATGGCGGCGGAGGCGGATATGGCGGCGGCGGAGGCGGATATGGCGGCGGCGGAGGCGGATATGGCGGTGGCGGAGGCGGATATGGCGGCGGCGGAATTTGGCGGCGGCGGCTGGAGGTGGCGGAGGCGGTTTTGGAGGAGGTAAGATATATATGTGTCAAGTCTATGGGTGGGTGTAGTGGGTGGGTGTGGGTGGGGTGGGTGGGCGGGTGTAGTGAGTGGGTGTAGTGGGCGGGTGTAGTGGGTGTGGTGGGTGGGTGGGTGTGAGTGGGGGGGTGGTGGGTGTAGTGTGGTGTAGTGGGTGGGTGTGGTGGGTGGGTGTAGGGTGGGTGGGTGAGTGGGTGTAGTGGGTGTGTGTGTAGTGGGTGGGTGTAGTGGGTGGGTGGGTGGGAGTAGTGAGTGGTTGAGGGCGGGTGTGTATTGAGGGGTGTAGTGGGTGGGTGTGTGGTGGGTGGGTGGAGGGATGGTGGGTGGGTGTAGGTGGAGTGTGGTGTAGTGGGTGGGTGTAGTGGGTGGGTGGGTGGGTTGGTGTGGTGTGGTGTATTGAGGGTGTAGTGGGTGGGTGTGGGTGGGTGGATGTAGGGTGGGTGTAGTTGTGAGGTGGGTGGGTGTGTGGGTGTGGTGGTGGGCGGGTGTATTGAGTGGATGTGGGGTGGGTGGTGGGTGGGTGGGTGGAGGATAGTGGGTGGGGTGTGGTGGAGGGTGTGTGTGGTGGGTGTTGAGGGTGGGTGGTAGTAGTGAGTGGGTGGAGGGTATATTGAGGGTGGTGGGTGGGTGGAGGGTGAGTGTGTAGTGGGTGGGTGTAGTGGGTGTATGTGGGTGTGAGGTGGGTGGGGTGTATTGAATGGGTGGGTGTAGTGGGTGGGTGGGTGGAGTGGTTGGGTGTGGTAGTGAGTGGTTGGAGTGGGTGTATTGGTGGGTGTAGGGTGGGTGGGTGGGGGGTGGGTGGGTGTAGTGGGTGGGTGGGTTGAGTGGGTGGGTGGGTGGGAGTAGTGAGTGGGTGTATTGAGTGGGTGGAGTGGGTGTAGTGGGTGGGTCTTATCTTATGGGATCAAACAAAAGACGTTTATGAACAGGAATATATTCTTGTCAATTCTCTAAGTACCATTATTATATTTCTTATATTTTGTTCTCTTTACAGGATACGGGAAGTAGTGGACATCACACCTGTTGTGTTTCATTATTTACTTTTGTTACGTCGATTAATTAATTTTGTTTTTTTTCTAATAAATAAATACTAAGATGTGACTTGAGTTGTCATTATCATTGTTTTTGTTGTTTTGTGCCAGGTAATGTCCGAGCTGTTATTATTATTATTATTATTATTATTATTATTATTATTATTATTATTATTATTCATGTAGAACAGCGAGGGAAAAAGAATAAATAATAATAATAATAAATCAGAAAATAATATTAACGTCAGACTAACAATCATGATCTTTTATTTACAAAGAAAAAATTGCTGTTCACCATCGAATGTTCCACAACATGAATGGGAGGTTAGAATTCACGATTAAGTCAACATGTAGAGACGTATAGATGCCGTTGTTGTTTATATTCGTGTTTGTGCTTGAATTACTAAGGCCCTCTCCTTTAAGTCAGTTTATACACTACATCTTGGCAGGCCAGGTGTGTTTGGGTGAGTGATTAGTAAGCTCTTCCTCACCTGTGGGTAAACCGTGACCCTGTCTACTGAGTTATTACCTATGTGGAGTAGTGTGACAAATACTAACCCTTCTTCCCGCTTCACTCCTGCTCTTCCTCCCTCTCCTGCTCCTCCTCTTCCTGATCCTACTACTCTTCCCACTCTTCTTCCTTCCCTGGTTTCCTTCTCACTCCCATTTCTTCTCCCCATCTCCCTCCCCCTCCTCCTCCTCCTCCTGCACAATAACATTCCATGGCTCACTCTTTAGTCTTCCCAGTCGCTCATCACAGTTCGACATAAGACTTGCTGTGTACATTAAAATCTGTCTACCCAGCAGCAGATGTAATAAACTGGGGGGGCTAATGTTCAGGTGATCCATTTTTTAAAGAGTTAAACCACAGTCCTCAATGGGTTAAACCATCGTCCTTTAAAGGGTCCAAAATCTTCCCCAAAGAGTTAAACCACAGTCCTCAAAGGGTTAAACCATCGTCCTTTAAAGGGTCCAAAATCTTCCCCAAAGAGTTAAACCACAGTCCTCAAAGGGTTAAACCATCGTCCTTTAAAGGGTCCAAAATCTTCCCCAAAGAGTTAAACCACAGTCCTCAAAGGGTTAAAGGTACTTGAAGGAGTTTATATAATAAAACAAATGTCAGGCATAATTTATTTTGTCTCAACTTCTCCTCTCCCCAATTTCCATGATATTTCCATAATATCTCCCTAATTTCCATAATCTCTGAGACTCTGGTAATTTCCCTACTCGTACACAAGACAATAAAACAAAGGATAAAAAGTAATAGAATATATTAATAACGACGAGAAACAACACAATTAAATATACAATAAAGATCTAAGGCGTCCACTGTGGTCTCCTCACTTCCCGTAACCTGTAGAGAGAGACAGAGAGAGACAGAGATAAATGAGGTCAGGATAAAAAAGGTGATACAGTAAACCCTCACAATAATGGACTCCTCTCAATAACGGACTACTACTACCGTGTTACCATGACAGCTGATGAGATACCATGACAACCAGACCAGGGGAGGGGTAATGGTACCTCCGCCACCTAAATGTCAACAATGTCGGGCGTTTTGTGAACTATATTAATGTTTACTCAGTAGTGTGTGAGAGAGAGAGAGAGAGAGAGAGAGAGAGAGAACGTGTGTCACTTGATAATCCTTTTGTAAATTAAGGCTTTAGTACACAATGCGGCCACTTTATTATCATCTCCACCTGTTCATTACCACACCTTCAAGATATGTCTCAACCCGCACCTGTACTGATGCTTCTCAATGCACTTTCTAAGGTGACTCATGTGGGTGTTGTGGAGTGTGAGAGTCTCGGGGTGTGTGTTGCTTCACATACCTGCAGTTGCTGCGTCAGGAAGAGGAAGTCGAGGTCAGTGAACTTATTTCAGGATCGATAAAGTGTGTGTGTGTGTGTGTGTGTGTGTGCTCTTTACACACACGCATTAACTTCTCAACTTACCTCCATATCCTCCTCCCCCGCCGCCGCTGATTACTCCGCCGCCTCCTCCGCCTCCGCTGATTACTCCGCCACCCAATCCGCCTCCGCTGACGACTCCGCCACCCAATCCGCCTCCGCTGACGACTCCGCCACCCAATCCGCCTCCGCTGATTACTCCGCCACCCAATCCGCCTCCGCTGACGACTCCGCCACCCAATCCGCCTCCGCTGACGACTCTGCCACCCAATCCGCCTCCGCTGATTATTCCGCCACCCAATCCACCCCTATATCCTCCACCAAATCCACCACCGAATCCACCGCCGCCATAATAGCCGCCACCGCCGCCATAATAGCCGCCACCGCCGCCATAATAACCGCCATAGCCGCCATGGTGGTGGTGGGTGTGTACAGGAACATAGATGATGTGGATACGTCCTCCGTACCTGCCGCCTCCTCCGAAGCCGCCGCCCTTCCCGCCGCCGAAGCCGCCGCCCTTCCCGCCGCCGAAGCCGCCGAAGCCGCCGCCGAAGCCGCCGCCGTAGCCGCCAATCGGGCTGGCGAAGGCCACAGCCGCCACCGCCAGCACTACCACCACGGCTAACACACGCTGTAGCTGTAGAGAAACACCAAACACGGTGTGGTCAGAGGGTATGGCTGTGTCGCTCTCCTGATACACATTACACAAACCTGTTATGTTGATCACTACAGTATATGTTTACATCATCAAGCACTTAACACCTGGTCTTGCACCTGTCTCTACAACCCCAACCAATATTACAAACCTCACCTGATAGTTCAACATAAATATCACTATAGTAACAAAGTATCAGGACAAAGTATCAGTAACTCATCTAAGGTTAAAGTGTTCCTGCTACTACAATACTTAACATAACAGTGAGTTTTCTCAGCAAGGAGACTTACCATGACTCTGTAGTGGACTTTAGTGAGGCGGTAGAGAAGAACATTGCATTTATATAGATGGTGAAGTTCCTCTCACCTGATAGACACATTCACCTCTCTAACTCCCGAAAACTTGTTGCTTGTTACCGAAGCCTCCAGGGCCGCGTGATTATACTACTTGGCTGAGAGGTTCAACTTTTTGGGTAAGATGTCTGGCGCGCGCGCGTGTGTGTGGGAGGAGGGGGGATGGGGGGAGTGGATTGGTGAGGGGTGGGGGTCGATTGTATTTTTATTTTTGTAATGAATCGTCCAGGTAATCTATTTCGTAGGTTATTCATTACCATATATACAGTATATAGTGTTAACCTTTTGGGCACTGGCTTGAGTTGTAATTTTTTAAAACACACACACACACACACACACATGAACATAAGAAAATAAGGAGTCTGCAATAGACCGGTCGGCCTGTGCATGGCAGCTCCTGTCGAGTTACTACCACTCTCTATCTAGCCTCCTTTTAAAACTTTCCAGCGTTCCAGCACTTACTACAAAGTTGCTAAGCTTGTTCCACTCGTCCACCACCCTATTTGTGAACCAGTTCCTTCCTATCTCCCTCCTAAACCTAAACTTATCCAACTTAAATCCGTTGCTACGAGTCCTATCCTGCTCGGATATTATAAGAACTTTATCTATGTCGCCTTTATTGATTTCTTTCACCCACTTAAATACTTCTATCATATCTCCCCGCACTCTTCGTCTTTCTAGACCAGTGGTTCTCAACCTTTTTCACTCCATTCCCCCCTTGAGGAATTTTCAACATCCTCGTGGCCTCCTTCATTTTTCTCCCAAACTTCCCACAAATAAAGCACACATACAGTCATACACAAACATGCACACAGGTAAACATTCACACTCAAGCTAGCAAGCTGAAGTGTACTTCCTGTAAGCAAGAACGCGCCTCCTTTGACAAGCACTGCCCAACTTGGAAGAATGAGAAGAATAGTGAGTCATACCAATTTAGCACTAAAAATGGTGGGATTATATAAGTAAACAATGAGTATGAACAACAATGGCACCAATAAATAAGGAAATAATTAATAAAGGAAGTGTACAAATATTTCACCCACGTAAAGCAGCGACCACATGAATTATGAAACAAAATAAGTAACACCAATTACGGAGTATATTATGCTTGAGTTAAGCTCAAACACAATATATGGTTCAGAGACAATACACTCCACTGTTTTCGTGATGGTATCCCAGGCCAGACTGAGATCATTCGGTCCTATCACCACTTGCAAAGGGATGACGCACGGACACGTACTGAGCAAGTCAGTTCAGCAGCTCGGTCCAGTCCCTGTCACACAGACAGGGACTGGACCTGTGAAATCTTAAATAATCCGTAAAAAACAGCACCAGAGCTTGTAAATATTAAAATTGTATTGTCGTTATGATTAAACAAAATGACAAAAAAAAAAGAATGCAAAATCTCTTCTGCCAAGTCAAAATAAGTAATACAAGTTTTGTTTAATTCAGATTCCCAACATTATTTGGACACGTACAATTTATAACAGCTCGCCGTGGCTCCCCTAAATTCTTGCCGTGTCTTTGGGGCAATGGCCCCCAGGTTGAGAACCACTGTTCTAGGGAATGCAAGTTTAGTTTCTTTAACCTATCTTGATATGGAAGGTGTCTAAGTCCCGGAATCATTTTCGTCATTCTTCGCTGCACCGACTCCAGTGAATTGATATCCATTCTATAATAAGGGCACCAGATCTGAACCGCATAATGGAGGTGCGGCCTGACTAGCGCAAGATATAGTTGCAATAAGACCTCTGCACTCTTACACACACACACACACATACACACACACACACACACACACACAGGTATAAGATCATATTAAGTAAAATTCCTTTAAACCTTCTTACATTTATTTAACAAAAACTACTAAACAGAGATACAACAGAACTGTACACAACAATATGACTGATGACGTGGCCACTACTTCTTCCCGTACCCTGTAAAGAGACGGTGATGGTTAGTGACGATGAGACGAGAGTGACGAGGTGTGTGACTGTACCAAGCTGCCTACACACACATTAATTATATAGGTGTGTGTGTGTGTGTGTCTAAATACAGTATATATGCACGGTGATAGGCGAAGTAAAATATTGATGATAGGTCTATAATCTTTATATAAATTAGTAATACCCACTGGAAAACTAAGTCAATTCAAAGGTGTACTGTATATAGCCAAATAATTTAAGGTTTTCCTGGATGGTGACAAAATAGAGTGAAAGTGGAGAGAAACAGACTCGCATCATTGGAACTAGGAAGGGGAGACGGGAGGTGAGTCAGTATTAATTATTTTTGTTTATAGATGGCTGTTAATGGTGTGTCATGCTTAGAGGAGGGGTGGAGGGGGTCTTGTGGTAAGGAAACACCATAATAGAACACATGAGTTAGGGAAAACAGGTAATTTATCTTGGAGGAGAAGCCTATGCTGTTTTTGACGCGTCCGTTCAGTTTGCGCGGGAGATATCTTGTGAAAGTAGTTTTAAGAAAATTAATATATATACTGTTTATGCATAACTATAATAATGAAACATGATAGAGAGACATTATACAGCGTCGTAGATATATTCCATCATGCGGTTCATACTGTTTTAGAAGACTTTTACTGTAAACATGAATCTTTAGACAAAAAAAATATTGTAAATACTGTAACACTAACCACACACATATACTAATATCACGCAAAGACAATGATAAAATAAACACAAGGGGTCTATACTCTAGATACTCTTACTAGAAAGATACAGAGTTCATAAAAGTGTATATGGAAATAAATAAAACGCTTACAAGGTTCCAATATTACAGGAAGACTGGCGAGGTGTAGCAGGAAAAGCAGCCGACACATATGACTTGAAGCGTTCGTGTAAGAATGAAGTTATCACTATGAAACATCAGCTAGAAATTGAGAGTAAACTTGCTATGAAACTCTTGGTAAATCTCGACGTAAAATGACATAAACCCCAACATTTCTACATAAGTTTTGGTCACGTTTTGCTTCGGTATCGTTCATGTTGGAGTAACAGCTGTATCAATGGCCAGTTTTTTCTCCCGGGTGAGTGTAAAGATCAGAGCATCAGGTTTATGTTGAGGTATTTCTTTCTTCGTCTCTAAGTAACAACAACAATAAAATTTCAGTTTCATTTTATCTTTGTTATTGTTGTGTGCGTTGTTGTTATTGTTGTTATTGTTGGAGGTGATTTATGTTATATTCTCCACAACAGGTTAAAGTCTTCAACCTCGTCTTCAAAGATGGACTAAAGTAGACATTTGATATTAACACGTAAATTTAGAGAGATCTACATCCCCCTAGTGAGAGGTCAGTGTCTTGGCCATTTTAGGTCAGTGTCTTGGATTTGTAAGGTCAGTGCCTTGGACTTGTTAGGTCAGTGCCTTGGACTTGTTAGGTCAGTGCCTTGGACTTGTTAGGTCAGTGTCTTGGACTTGTTAGGTCAGTGTCTTGGATTTGTAAGGTCAGTGTCGTGAGGAATGATGGACAAACCTTGATCGTGTGCCTTGTGTGTGTCGACTCTGCTTGTACCAAAGACAAACTGTGATGAAACTATTCTCTCCTTTCCACGAGATCTACAGGTGATTATTATTGTGTTGGAGGATTTGAAGGTAAGGGGTGAAGCTGAGGATTGTGGTGTGGTGAAAGTGTGAGGGTGTGGTGAGGGTGTGGTGAGGGTGAGAGAGATAGGTGTGGCGTGAGGGTGAGAAAGTTGTTGTGGTGAAGGAGTAAGGGTGTGAGGGTCAGGTGTGAGGGTCAGGTGTGAGGGTGAGGAGGTACAGCAGGTAAATAAACACTGTTGTTATCATGTCAGTAACCAACAGTACAGACTCAAGGATGCCCGCCCGTGTCTTACCTCCATAGCCACCACTGCTGATGACGCTGCCGTGTCCAATCCCATACCCACCGCTAATGGGAATTCCACCATGTCCAATACCATATCCACTGCTGATGACGCTGCCGTGTCCAATCCCATACCCACCGCTAATGGGAATTCCACCATGTCCAATACCATATCCACCGCTGATAATCCCTCCACCGTATCCACCATGACCACCTCCGAGAACTATACCCCCTCCATGTCCACCACCATACCCTACGTGTCCACCACCGCCATACCCTACGTGTCCACCACCGCCATACCCCACGTGTCCACCACCATATCCTCCGCTGTGGATGGGGGTATGAACGGGAACGAAGATATATTCATAGTGGTCATTATCATCGTAGTCATCATCACCATAACCACCACCTTTACCACCGAAGCCAGGAGACGCGAGGGCTCCTGCCACCATCACCATCACAAGACCTGACAGACGCTGGAGGGAGAAACAGAATCCATTAACATATCAACAGAAGGATAACTCAAGAAGAAGGGTCACTACAGCAGGAGGGTTATGTCCAATGTCTACCTGAAGTTCTGAACCCCCATCCTGAAGGTGTGGTTATGCCCTTTACAAAACAGAATTACTCAACACAAATCCTCATATAATATTTTGAACATTACTAAACCCTTTGACGACAGAGGTACTCAAGGGGTTAAGATATGGTACTCAAGGGGTCAAGATATGGTACTCAAGGGGTTATAATCATTACATCAGACACATTAACAATAATATACAATATACCTTTACTAATTTATCCCCTTGGGTATTATATGGTTTATAATTATCTTAATAACTATACTTGGCTATATTATATTGGTTATTTAAAGTGAATATTAAGTTGTAATGTACAGTGCAAGACGATGTTTGGGAAATGTTCTGATTACATTAGTTATTATTATCATTATTATTATTATCCTCAAAATCCAAGAAGATGGTTCCAATAATTTATAAAACACGAGAAGAAAGAAGAAAGAATAAAGATGAAAAAGTACATAAAGAGACACCGAAAAAACCTATGCCAATAAAATTAAATGATAAAATTCAATTCTATTTTCAGATCGATCAGAAGCGTTACCCAGGAGGATGACACTACCAGGTCCTTGTGATACTGGAGCTGAAGGAAGCACTTAGGGGCTTACCATGACGTCTGGGAAAGCTTTCGAAGACTGAATCTGCAGAGGCGGGAACGCATGGTAATATATAGTTCAGGTGGAGGGTCTCTCTCTCTCTCTCTCTCTCTCACTCTCTCTCTTACCTCTTCCAGACTTTCACTCTTTTTTACCCCATCTGTGAAAGGCAAAGATGAAAAAAATAAAAAAAATATTAATTTTTTCCATGGTCTCACGAGTCGAGTCTGGAGCAAAACACGAGGTAGTGAAGGTGTTTTTGTCTTACCTGAAGTTTTCCTTTCGATATCGGCAAGATGCGGCGAGGTCCTCTCTCTTCTAGATAAGTTCACTGTAAGAGTGGTATAGTAGGTTCTGGATTGGTACAGTGGGTTCTGAAGTGGTACAGTGGGTTCTGGAGTGGTACAGTAGGTTCTGAAGTAGTGCAGTGGGTTCTGGAGTAGTACAGTGGGTTCTGGAGCAGTAAAGTGGGTTCTGTAGTGGTACAGTGGGTTCTGGAGTAGTACAGTGGGTTCTGGAGCAGTAAAGTGGGTTCTGTAGTGGTACAGTGGGTTCTGGAGTAGTACAGTGGGTTCTGGAGTAGTGCAGTGGGTTCTGGAGTAGTACAGTGGGTTCTGGAGCAGTACAGTGGGTTCTGGAGCAGTACAGTGGGTTCTGGAGTAGTACAATGGGTTCTGGAGTAGTACAGTGGGTTCTGTAGTAGTACAGAGGGTTCTGGAGTAGTACAATGGGTTCTGGAGTGGTACATAAGATACGCAGTCCACTCATCTGTGAATGGTGACTTAACATTACAGTTGGTGGAGAGGAGCTGGTCGAGTTCAGTGCTCCCCAAACAGTTTTCTTGTGTACCGAAGGCTTAGTATTAGGTAAGCTGTATCCATAGTGTCCGTAACGTGTCATCTGGTCTATAAGAATCATTTGTACAAGTTACGTACAAGTCTAAACCCTTGGATGGATAAGATTATATTCTGATAGAACTTATTATAATGGTCAACAGAACAAATATAAGCGGGTTGTGTGAGGCAGGTGAGGGTAGCGACAGTCTCGTTTTCTCTCTAGTGACAACAGTTCAGAAAGTTGTTTGTTGAACTTGATTACTTATTCGATCAACGTGTAGACTCCTGACCTTTATACTCACTACGTTCGTTTTGTTATTAATGTTTGCTTTTTATATGTATTTACTTTCAACAACGGCGCATCATTCTCGTCTCTGTTTTTTGGGTACAGCCTCAGGGAAAATATACACCGATTTTAAAAGACGTCGACCACAAACACAGGAGTTGACTGACTCGTTTAGTGATGATATACAACACAACACAACAGTCCCCTCATAACACATTTGATCTGGTCAATGTCACCACAAACCACACACCAGTAATGTTTTCTTCATCTTGTTGGTGGAACTTGAGGAACTAGGAAGTATTGATAACAGAAAAGGTCACTTGAGAAGGGAAGAATCAACCGGTCGATGCCAAGAACCATTCCAGGTTATGTCAAGGGTCTCACTGACGTCTACATTCTCTTCACCAGGAAAACCAACGCTCAGAAGTAACACCTCAGTTAGACAGTGGAGCTGGAGGAACGTAGAGACATGTGACCCATCAACAGCTTCCCGTTTGTCCTCACCAGCGAGCCATACAAGATTGAGTAATTTCTAACATTGATAAATCCAGAAATATCATTACCATTGAGGGTTCTGTTGACCAAGTGGCCATCAACATGGTGTGGGTCATGGAGAACCTGGTTATTGGGGTCACCTCAGAGGGTAGACTCTGCTGAAGACACTGAAACACTGTCACGGTCTGGACGATGTGCTGGATGGCTGAATGGTCTCGTGTGGGAATCTGACAACACTAGATGAGTGGAAGGACAGAGTAAAACTTGACGGTTATTGAAGTTTATTAATTCGCCGAAACAAAACACATATACGAAACATTTAAAGACAACGAGGACTTTAAATAAGACCAGAGGATCAGATGTTCCCCGGGAGAGTGACGAGAAATTTATCCATTTCCAACCTCTCGTCTCGTAGTGACTCCTTGAAACTATTGTACAAAACTCAAGTCATGGTGTCTAGCAGTGAGGAGGTCCAGCGAGTTTTTGCCCTGAACTACGAACGAGTCTACTGCTTTGACTTAGAAGAGATGAGTGTCTTATAAACTCATGAATGGAGAAGTTGAATGTCACTTGGTGAGTCTTGGTTTGGTTATTACTGAAAGTTTCATTAAAAACATAACTTATGATTGATATTTAACTTTGAGCGATCATCACGAGGTAAGTTCTGTGATGTCCTTCCCTGAAATATCTTAACTCTGACAAATCATCTTGCTTGTATTATCCCACCCACCGAACCCCACACACATACCAGACTTCACTTACCACTCTTGGGTGAAGCTCAAAACTTTTCTAAACCACTTGTAATACCCGTCAAGGTTAGCAACAACAACAAAAAACAGACAAGCAGTGCACATTATCTTCTCATGTATCTGTGTCGCGTAAAGCTTCATAATCCTAGAGTCATTGTCCCATTGTTCGGTTATTTAGTCTTAAACAAACAATACACGGTACATCTACAGTTCCGTCACAGCAACATGATAGGTTCCCAGACTACTGGTGTTACCAACGTGATAGGAAGAGATTTAACAGAGTTAGTTGTTGGGTATTATTTATAAACTTGTGGATAGAAGTAAGCATAGGGCAAGGTCCTGTCGCCATACCTGTATAATGTTTACACGGATTAAACACATTCTATATCAACCCTTAAGGAGTTGTGTCGCACGGAGGTATTCTGGTTAACATTAGACCATTTTATCCAGCTGACCTAACCGAACCGAACCTGACTCTCAATGGGTTAAGAGTTAGAAACAGGTGAGGCTAGAGGACAGGTGGGGCTAGAGGACAGGTGAGGCTAGAGGACAGGTGTGGCTAGAGGACAGGTGTGGCTAGAGGACAGGTGTGTGTGTGTGTGTAATTCAGGGTGGGTGAACTCTTATGGACGGGTTTACTGTGGAAACTCTTCATGATGCTGCACCAGAATTTTTTTTTACAATTGGTTCAAGTCAGGTGTGAGGAAGGTAGGTGGAGTCAGGTGTGAGGGAGGTAAGTGGAGTCAGGTGTGAGGGAGGTAGGTGGGGTCAGGAGTGAGGGAGGTAGGTGGGGTCAGGTGTGAGGGAGGTAGGTAGAGTCAGGTGTGAGGGAGGTAGGTGGAGTCAGGTGTGAGGGAGGTAAATGGAGTCAGGTGTGCGGGAGGTAGGTGGTAGTCAGGTGTGAGGGAGGTAAGTGGAGTCAGGTGTGAGTGAGGTAGGTGGTGTCATGTGTGAGGAAGGTAGGTGGAGTTAGGTGTGAGGAAGTTAGGTGGAGTCAGGTGTGAGGCAGGTAAGTGGAATCAGGTGTGAGGAATTAAGCCAGGTGTAATTAAGTACCTCCACCATTGATTTTTGTTGTGATTTTGATCTTGGACATCAGCTAGTTTATTGTGCACCTTATACTCATCCTGTGAACTGTATCTCAAAAAGGATTACAGCGTAGAGGTCACAAAGGGTGTTTATTAGACCCCAGTGAGCAGGTTGGTGGTCTCCGTCACACAGGGGAAGGAAGGTCACTGACTTGATGGTTATTATATCAATGTCCAAAAAGGATTTATTTATCTATACTATTTTGTTTTTTTTAGCTCGTGAGTCATTTGAAGAAGCGGTGAAAGTTTGGAAATGTTGACCAAAAGGTTGAGTGATATGTTTTATATGCAAATGTCATGAGGAACTGGACGGTTGTGCGGCGTGAGAGACAGGTGTGACAGTGCCGAGGGTCATGTCATCAGCGAGACAGGTAACACAGGTGCACAAGTCAATTCATATAAGCCAGGTGACACAACATGTTTACTGTTACATCATCTGAGACAGGTAACAGGTGAAGACAGGTGCCCAAGCCAAGTTATCAAAGCATTACAAGCAGAAACTAGTTAAGAGGTTGGGAGAGAGGGAGGGAAGGAGGAAGGTGGGGGAGGGAAGTAGGTGGTATTCACTTCCTGGTAATAGAGTGAGTCAGTCTTGGCTGTGAGGGACTCTGTACATAACCTTAAACATCTGTGTATCAACTATATCTTCTTTAGAGAGAGAGAGAGAGAGAGAGAGAGAGAGAGGGGGTGTTGGACATGAGAAAGAGCATCATTGATCCCTTTCTCTCACGCTCTGACCATAACCTACACACCACGGCAGACCAGGGTGACTCTGAGGCCGCCACACACACACTACACAGTCAGTCGGGCTCAAGTGACTCCCGCGAACATCTCCCCTCCCCTTCCACTCTGTAACTTGCCACTGCTTCCAATGGTTCTTCAGATGTTTTCGTAGATATGTAGCCAAACCTAACCTCTCTCGTTTTCGTTATTAAGCTCCTGGGATGCTCATACTTCACCTAACACAGGGCTGCACGGTAGACGAAAAGGAAAGCCTCACTATTGGCCACTGTAAAACGCTAACAAAAAATTATGACTTTTCGCACTTGGTTTACGCACTTTCTGCTGATTCACGGCGGAGGAGAAAGTTTTCGTCACCCTGCTGCTTGTGTGATCATATGTCCAGGTAACTAATGCGTCTTTATGGTCATATATTCATCGACCCAGATTATATAAAAAAAAAAAAATCACCTTGAAACTTTATTCGTCACTTCACCTACAACACTGGTAATAAAGTGACAAATTAATCAGAGTTAAATTCTCACACTTTTAACAATAACTTCAAAGAAATTTTGAGAGTATCACAGTTCTGCCTTAGTAAGTTTATTGAGATATTCCTCTTAGTATTTACACAACCATGGCGTTTTAAAAAGGTTATTATGTGAGGGTATGGATGTTTTTAGTGTCTCTGTTAGATCACCTATTTACCTGCACCTGTAATTTATACCTAATTAGTGAACTTCATACCTAAATTTATACTTTTATACCTACACCCGAATCTATTAAGGCATCATATTAATACAGTATTATAGGCACCAGGAGAAAGATGCTTTACTTTTACCTATACTTTACCTTAATTAATATACCTGTACCTGTACTTTACCTTAATTAATATACCTGTACCTGTACTTTATGCCTCAATCTGTGTTTGTACTTCTGAATAAGTTTCCTAGACTTCAGTCACATTTAAATGTATTAAACAAAAAACTAAAACAAATACAAGTGCCTCTGCTTAATGTCAATTAAACGACAAAAAACTTGGGTTTTTGCTTGAGGTGACGGCTGGTCATCACTCTCTCCTGCAGGCTTTCACTCCGTCTTCTCCCAACAACGGTAAGAAAGGGTCTATGTTTAGCGGAGTCGTGAGAAATTAATTCATGTTTCTGGTGAGGAGTGAAGACTGTTAGTGTGAGGCTGCTAAAGACCCCACGTGTATAAGGGTTAACAAATGTCCTGGTTGGTGAATGACCTCTGTGATGTCAAAGTGTTCGGGCATGACAGGTACGGATTGGTCCGCGCCCACCATGACGTAAGCTAGAGTGTGATGGCAGAACGAGCGCTGATTGGTCCACAACCACACTGACGTCAGCTAGTGAATAGGCATGACAAGCACTGATTAGTCCGCGCTCACCATAACGTCTTCTGGAGCGAAAGGTCCAGGCAAAAATTGATTGAATCGCACCTAACATGGCGTTTTCTGGAATGTAAGGGTCCAACGAGCACTGATTGGTCTGCGCCCATCATGACGTATACTTAAGTGTAAAGGTAGAACTAGCGTTGATTGGCCCACCACCACTCTGACGTCAGTTAATGTAGGGCATAGCAAGTGATGATTGGTCCGCACCCACCATGACATGAGTTAGTGTTCGAGTATGACAGGTACCGATAGGTCTACGCCTACCATGACGTTAGCTAAAGTGTAAGAGCCTGGCGAACACTGATTGGTCCGCACCAACCATGACATCAGCTAAGGTGTAAAGGCACGGCAAACACTCATTGGTTCATGCCGACAATGACATCAGCTAGAGTATGCGGGCATGGCGAGCGCTGATAGGTCCACGGCCATGACGTCAACTAGTGAATATCGACATGACAAGCTCTCTGATTGGTTCTCGCCCAACATTACGCCAGATAGTTGCCATTCTACTACAAAATGGGTTGATTTTGGGTCAGATACTAATTATGAAAGGCTAATTAGATTGAGAGCAAACTTAAGTTTCTGGCAGTGCAATGGGAAGGGCGGTAGTTGACGTCATTGTGGACACGGGCCAATCAGCGCTCGCCTTGCCCGAATACACTCCCTGACGTCATAATAGGTAAAACCAATCAACGCACACCATACCCATCCACGTCATAAATTAACCCCAAAGTAATTAAGGACCAATCAGCGCACATCATGCCCTCATAAGCGTGGATTTTACTATGACACGTCTGGGGCTCCATGAGACAGACAGACACATTACATTCACTTCACATTCAACAGAGGAAAAGTAGAACAGTGAAATAACAAAATAAAGTTTACCAAGACCATAAAAAATAATATTACAAATAACAAAAGTCAAACGAAAATAAAAAAGAAAAAACTAGACGATATTTGACGAAGTTTTGCCAAAAATAACGATAGTGTCTGTTATTATATCGTTGATTGATGTGGTGACAGGCCATTAGACTCAGGTGGTTATGTTAGGTTAACGTTACTAGCTTAATAATAACGGGTATGACTAAGAGATGGTCAGTGGTTGAATTAAACTGCACAGAAAATATAAATAAAATCCTCAAACACGTATAATATCCATCAGTTAAGTCAAATGTAGGTTAGACAGATCAAATGCATTTAAAAACCAGATGACGAGGAAGACGATTCTCCCTCCTACTCCCTCCCTCCCTCCTTCCTTCTTTCCTCCTTCCCCTTCCCTCCTTTCTTCCTCCCTTCTTCTCCCTCCCTCCTCCTCCTTCCTCCTCTCCCTCTCTTCCCTCCCTCTTCCCGTCTTCCCCCCTCCATCCCTCCTTCCCTCTACCTCCATCCTTCTCCCTCCCACCCTCCTTCCTCCTTCTTCCCCCCTCCCTCCCTTCCTCCATCCCTCCTCTCTCCCCCTCTCTCCTCCCATCCCCCTTCCTCCCTCCCTCCTTCCCCTAACGCCATCCTTCCCTCCCTCCTCTTCCCCTCCTCCTCCTTCCTCCCCTTTCATCCCTCCCTCCTCCCTCCTACCTTCCCCCCTACTTCCCTTCCTCCCTCAGCAAACAACAGGCCGGAACTTAATAGTCTTTTGCTAGGTGCTGTAATTAAGGGTGGGGCTACCACTGATAAGATTACCACTGTGTCGTCTTAAGGTACACAACTAGGGGTAAACTGTCATCATTAAGGATCTTGGGTCAAACAGTTGTAATTTTAGTCGTGTTATAATCTGTCATGAATTAAAACCTAATTTGTTTTATAACCCTAATTATTCTACTCACTTGTAATTATTCGGTTATGATTATATCAGTGGTTTTATGGCATTCTAAATGTATTAAAGTCGTGAACAATATTTTTAACATCTTCACTACAGAGAGGTTACTATTAATAACTCATTTAGCTAATTCAAGATGACTTCATTCAGTTATCTCCACTAATCCCTATACAGAAGAGGTTAAAATACAATATATTTCTTCAATTAACAGTAGTATAACAGAGTAGAAAACCTGTAGAAGCAACAGCCGAATTACAGGTAAGAAACAGTAAAGTGTTTATAATAACCAACACCATAAAACAACTTTCATTATAACAAACAACAGAACATTCTATAACAACCTCACATTATCAGAAGTAGACAATAAACTTAACACATAAGTAAAATTGATTAGTTGATTACGAGTCTGTGATTAAAGAGAAATATCTATGCTGATTAACTGACTGACTGACTGAGTGACTGACTGACTGACTGAGTGACTGAAACAAAAAGTTGATGGTCCGTAGACTCAGTGTACAGTACAGTACCACCGCCGCCACCCAACGTGAAAGTATGTTTTTACTTGAGTCTCCCTTCAGATAATAAAGAAGAAAATAGAAATCTTTACTTTTTTTATATTTTAAACGTTCAATAAATACAGTATATACGATTATTGTATTTCCATTCTTTGTTATAAATTAACTCGTGATTGGCTAAGCATAGAGGGATGGTAAAAACATATCAATAAAACGCATTAGGTGTGAACTGGAAACTGTCCTGGAAATGACTCGGTGTGTTTTCAAGGAAGTGGTGACGAGAAGCGGTATTTCCAGATGTTACGACGGCAATAGTTTACCTTTATGAGTTATAAAGATAAATTCTATGTTAAGATCTTCTGATATCTTTTCCAGAAACTATAACAGCAACTTTATATTAGCGGTCTTAGGTACCTTTATTCTTACTGAAAAGATAACCAATGTTCTGGAAGACTCGCTATCTTAACAAAATATCTCTATACTGCAAAACATGATATCTTTACTAAAGCTTTTAACAACACCTTTTGGCTCAGGATCTTCGATATCTTTACAAGAACTTACAAAATCACGTGAGTATTGCAGAATCGCCTTACCAATTACAGTAGCTGAGGACAGTGATACAATTAACCTTTCTAAAACGTACAGTAAATATTCCTTGTTAAAGAAAAAGTGTGTTGAGCTGTTCCTTTGATTAGCCGCCTAGTGACGAGAAGAAGGCACAGAAGAACACCAGAGGAATGCCACGTGTCGAATCAACTACCTAACACGACGGTCAACAAAGCTACTACCATGATGACCCAGACGTTGACGGCAAGTAAAGTACCTAAAGTCAAGAGACGTAAAGAGCGCTTGGTGATGACGCAAACAACACTGCCTGTACCACCTACTCCATACCTCCTTTATATACAGTTTCCATTCCACATTTTGAGCTAGATTAAAATATGACTTAATCTCCCTTTTGATGGTATATTTTAAAGCCATTATAGACGTTACAGTAAAAACATCTATTTAGCGGACTATATGGAGAGGAAAGACCATTATATCAAGGGTCCCTTAGATATGAAAACTCCATCTACAGAACTATGTAGAGATGAAAGCCCGTTATTTGGAGGTTTCACTGTATATGGGTGTACTAAAGTCTTTGGTACACAAGAGAGGTGGTGTAGCGGACACTATCCTTCACCACCGACTTTAACACTCAGCCGCCACGCACCATAAGGCAGCCGCCACGCACCATAAGGCTAAGTATACAAATGACCGATGTATATTTCCCTGGAGTATGGAATGTTGACAAGATAGGTTCGTGAGATAGAAATACAGGGTTATTTTTTATTCAAGAGCTCTAAATAATCCCTAAATAAGCAGGAACCTAAAATCTGATCATAAATGTTCTTCACTATGTTCAGATTTTATTTCTACAGATTTTTAGGTTCCTGTTTATTACATGTCCTAAAATATAAATAACTCTTGAATTGCTGTTTTCTGAAGGAAATTCTTCTCATGCTCTAAGTTTCTATATAAACTGTATTGAATTTAGCTCTTAATCATCGATGAAGAAACTTACCATGTGAAGGACGTTTCTCCTTTACACAGTGTAACTCATCGTGAAATCATTTGTTAAACTGGTAAAAGCAGAAAGTGATGATGACGCTGTTTAGTGCTTAATTAAACTCGCATTATGTCGTCGTTATCTCGCTAAACCCACGTAACACAGGTCAGTTTTAATTGGTTTAACTGGTTTGTGTTAGACTCGTGTATCGTGTACAATCACTCAAAAAACTCTCTGTACTCGGGGTGATCGATGATTTCAAAATTAACATTGAGACTCTGTTGTCTCGGTAGGGTTGTCAAAATGCTTCATCCGTTATCTTATTTTTTCAACACAATTTTGTATAGCTAGTTTTCTGTGAGTCAGTACCGCATATTAACCTTTCTCGTATACTTTTATATTGTTCAGATTTACCACATTAGGCACTCAAATAATTATATGTTATCAGTTCTAACATCTACTGCCGACTGACAGTTCGCGCTTCATGTATTGGCTCAGTATTGCTTCACGAACCTCTCTTCTCTACCTCCACCTATACACCCAGTAAGGTGCCTCTTTTTATCCCCTTTGGTTTGTCTTTGCAGATTGTCCTGTTCACTACCACTTACAGCAGATACTTCGACCTCAACAGTAATATCCCCTATTTTGATTTGAGGACTCACCCCTTCGTCTCTTGTCTTATCATCTCTTCATGTGACAACACGAAAACAGTCAACACTGATACCAAAAGATGGTCCAAGTTGGTATTGTGTTAATCATCTCCAGCACCATCCTGGCCATCATAAACCAACTACTCATCTCGACACAACACCTAACATCAGGAGGAGGGTGAAGACTTATGTTTCATTCCCGTGAACTTTATTAATATTATCATTCACAGTCAGGAGTCACAAGTGAACAAAACTGGTTGTGAAACAAGTGACAACCTTAATTTGTTTTATTCCTGTAGTGGAGAAAACAGTGGAACAAGGCGCTGTGTTGGAGAGAACAGTGGAACAAGGCCCCTACCTCCGATCACCTACCAGCCGTAGTTACCTGAAGAAGAACCATACAATAAATATTAGTCTGGTTAATCTTATGGTGATATAATCTCGAAGTTAATTTTCAGGTAATTCGAGTTTGAATATTTGTGATTAATTGTGCTTCAGTGATAAAAAGATCAGCTCGTTAACTATTATGTTTGCGGCCGATTAATTATTGGCAAAGGAGTTAATTATGTTAACGTATTCCTAAACAGACAACTTTTGACTCTGTACAGACAGATACACAAACACAGTGATCACTATACCCCTCTTTCCTCCCCTCTACCACGAGATATTAAGACTACATTAAGCGGGTATTAACTACCTGAGGAACATAAACAAACACAACAGCAGAATGACACGAAGTAAACAAACACAAAGACAATAATGTAACTCAAGTGATCCATGACAATAATAAACAACACAGTATAAGAGATGATAATGAAACACTTACCAAACCCACCAAGTCGTCCAAACACTCCGTGACCACCCTGTCCACCGTGACCTGGGGATAAACGCCAGTTAATGAGGACAGGTGAAGTACTTCTTTACTATAAGCACAACGTAAAGATAATTTCAGTTTTTTTGAAACTTTGAAGTCATTTGTATATAACAGTAATGATGTAGATAAACATAGTACAAACTTGTACTAAATATCAACAGCACTTTATTAAATCCTTCCTAACCGAACCTAACCTAAATTTAGGTAAAGTTTGTTTTTGTTAAGATCCTGAAGGACGTCTTAAGTGAAAGTCAATACTCCCATAAATTACTTCTATTTCACAAGATAGTTTGCAAGGTCTTACCTCCTGAGTAGCGTCATCACACTCAAAGAATTTAGGCGTCGTATTTAAGGGTTTAAGATATTTTTCGCTGAGTTAATTCAATGTACTCAGGTTAACATAGTAGTCAAGGAGTTAAGACTTAATCGGACAATAATACCTAAAACACACACACACACACACACACACACACACACACACACAGTCAAGATATACTAATAAATTTCCTTACATAACGTGTAAACAGCAGTGTTAATGTTGGCTTACCATAGCCCCTAGTGATGACGTAGGAGTGTCCTCCATAGCCGCCTCCACCATACCCGCCTGTGGGGTAACACAACACGTTTAAGGCAACTTGATAAACCTTCAAAAATATGACAAGAATGGCACTATAGTCAAACATAGCATTTGAGACTCACAACTTACCATATCCCCCACCATATCCACCATAGCCGCCATATCCACCATATCCACCATAGCCGCCATATCCACCATAGCCGCCGTATCCTCCGTATTGACCACCATAACACAGGCCGGACACGGCCACCAACACCATCACCACAGACAGGAGGCCCTGGAAGCAACAGTCACTGGTATGTTATTGTGACAAGAGATGACGGAGTTTTATAATCCACAATATCACAGAAATGTTGATCAGAAAGTTGAAGTAAATCTGTACCATGGCTGCAGGATCTGTTTGGTTGAGGAGCGGGTTGACAGTGTTGTAGAGAGAGGCTGTCCAGAACTTTATATACAACAGGTGGCGCCTCCTGTATGTTCTCACCTTCAGGACATGGACCTCTGGTTTGAAACATTGCCACAAATACCAAATTATCCGTGAAAATTATTTAAAAAACGTGACTTCTTTTCTAGATGTGAATATTCTGAGGCAGGAAGTCCTACACACATCGATGATCCCACGGGGAAAATCTTCAAGGCGATGACATGATGAATTATGTTCTCTGGAAGTCAAATGAACCGAACCAGCGTACAGGAATGTCGGGAGTCAAGGTCCTTCTGATGGCGGGATTTTCTGAGTCCTTGTGGAAACGACAAGAACCTGCGGAACTGACGATGACCGGTTGAACTGACGAAGACCGGTTGAACTGACGAAGACCGGTTGAACTGACGATGACCGGTTGAACCAAAGAGGATTTGTACGGAACAGAAAGATATACACGATTCAATTTTTTTCACCAAAATAAGAAAATAAGTGTTACACCAAAATTCATATGTATAATATTATTTTGTTGATCCTTAAAATAATGTTAACAAAACTATTGCACCAAAATATATATATGAACCTTTACTTCCAGCCAAAATAAACTTTACATTATCTTTCATCTGAAAATAACATGTACATATGTTGCATTGAAATATATTTGTATTGTACAGTAAGGACTCAAAGCACGGGAGTGTTACGTTCCTGGAACCTCACATAAGAGTGAATTTCATGTATATTCTGGTCCCCCTGAATGTAAACATGAATCCCATTTTATATACTACAGTAATCCTACCCAAAGGTAAACAACTGCATGCACTGCCACCACAAACCATGTCTTATAAAGTGTTTGATGGATCACATAACTTCTGAGTTAGATGCGCCACTCTTTAATATGTCCAATACCCTGACCCATCCTCAAAACTTTTCAAAGTTTGCACTTTCTTTATTTTTCTCACTCTCACCATCATGAACACTGCCACTAAATTTCCTGGGAGATGTTGACAGAACTAAAACAAGAGAGGAGCATTTGACTGATACCTAGGCGAGGTGTGGTATTATCTTATGGTCGTAAGTTAATAAGCAACCCCTTCTGACAATAGGCCCAACCATTTCCTCCATCAAAATGGATAATGAAATAGATACAATAAATATATAGATGATGAAAAAAATATGATTAAGAAGTTCTATTATATGATAATGAGGGACACTGGTCTAGCAAGAGATGGTGGGTGGAGTAGCTCGACCAAGGGCGGATCAGGGGGTCAACCGCATATAATCAGGGTCGTGTACTCTGTATACACCTACTTTGAGATTCTACTGTATTAAAAAATAGACATGAGCTTTAACTGCACCAAAATAACCTTCATGATAATTATGATAATTTTATCATTACTTAGTGAGAACAAAGAAATATATATGAATGCCATATGTACCTGAAAAATGCATATATACTGTACTGAAATATATGACCCTTACCTCCATCTGAAAAGCAACCACTACAGAACCTCTATAAACCACATCCTAAATGTTATTTATTCTTTTAATTAAACCTAGACATAGTAACCTAACTTCACCTAACCGTGTTATAAGCCTTGATTTATCTCAGTACCTGACGTTAGCACCGCTAGGTTTCCGGTACTGTACGGTCTGCAGGGTTAGTAGGATGCATGCAGTACAAAATATAAAGTCTGCTCCCTCATAAAGCAAGGCTCAGGATTCAAAGTTAATCCCACTTAATAAAATAATGAAGGAAAGTTTTAACTATCAAATTAAAGCTTATTAATTTTCCATATTTTTTAAAGAAACTTTTAATTTCGTCTCAGTGGATTTCATTAAGTTTTCAACCCCCAACACAAATCATAAATCTGGATGTGCATATTTAAAACTGCACCCTAGTATAACCTTACCGAGTGAAACTGATAAAAAACAATCAGAACTCTGTACTTACCACCGACGCTTCTGAAGTTCTAACCTGTAAAACCAGAAACCAGTATTAGAAACAATTATTGACAACAGTATGCTTGTTTAAAATGAACCTTATAATGAAATAAACCCCATCACAATACAGTACTTGTACTTTAACACTGCTGCCATGATGAGATGAAACAAACAATCACTAAGAATTTTAAAGTAATGCCAAAACTCCAGTGCTGCGACTCCTCTCTTATGGCCTGTGACATTCTAGTAAATTAAAAAACAAGTCTATGATCCTAGCTGGAAGGGACCACTGACCATTGGCATCCGAGCTGCAATTTGGACATTAATAATTGTGGTTCATTTTTCCCATAACTTGGATCGATGATAATTGTTTTAATTCAGCAGAAAGTGACATTCAGGACTATTTTCCTTAGACCGAAACCTTACAAATGGATGGAAATGCACCGCAATGCTAAGATATACCGTGGTTCAATTTTGTACTGTATTACTAGTACAATAACCGAAGTACGAAAGTTTTTAGTGATAATAGCTGTGTTGTATATTGCATATATTTAAAAATTAACAATTAATAATGCAAATTATAAACTTGTAAATTATCAAACTAATATAACAAGACTTTGTTCAGGTTAGTTATATACAGTATAACCTTCACTGTCACAGATTACCCTCCTTGGCACCTCAACCTGACCTAACATTACCCTACCTAACCTATCCCAACCTCCCTAACACGGGGAACCAATTCAACCTAATCTAATCTAACCTAACCTAAATACTTAACCTAAGCTAATCTAACCTTCCTTAGACAAGTAAACCACCTCAACCTAACCTTGACTGTCACAGTTTGCCCTCCCTGACATGGGTAACCACTTCCTACGATCGCTGTGACATATTTCAGTCCATGAAGATATTTGGTTCTTGCCCGGAACATCTGCTATCCATGGTCAACAGTAAAGCCAAGGTGTACAACCTTGGGACCCATGTACAGTGAAGTGTTTTTTAAGGTTTCAGTTTGCTAACGGCTTCCGTTTTGGAGCTGTAGGTGGAACAGATAGACAGACGCTCACAGACAGACACGTCATCAATAATAATACTAAGGTGTACAACATTGGGACCCATGTAATATGCGTTTAACATTTCAGGTCTCTAACTGCTGTTTTGAAGCTGAGGCTGAACACAGCCTTAGAGGCTCACAGACAGACAATATCTGTCCTGTTATTATTATAACGTTTAACTGTAGGCAGCCAGTCGGGTACATCAGCCAGCACTACACACCAGCACCAAGTTGCTTTCTTTCACAAAAGTTTTGTGTGATATTTATTAATATTGTGTATATTTGTAAAATTTAAAATATTACCTGAGAATATTCGTTCTTCAAAACCCTTTAATTTTTCATTGCCACAAAGTCTTATTTCATACACCATCTAGAGCATCATTAGGTCTTAATAACTTAAAAGTTTCATCTCTTATAATTGCTATTGTTAATGGAGTGGAGTCATTACTAACCTTATTAGGCATTTTTAAACACATTTGTTGAGTAACAACATTATAACGCTACACGGTCCTGCCTCTTGTGTCTGTACAGAGAAACATTATACTTGATTGAGGCATTTTGACAGTAACAATTATTTACATGCAGTGTTCATCTCTACAGCACTATTCTTGTGCTTAGCTTTCTGGAAGACATAATTGTCACCAAATAAATTTAAGAATATGGTGATACTCTGCCATAGTATGATTAGTATGCTTGCTTAGGAATACTTGACAGGAGTGACCTGACCTGAGGAACTACCGAGCGAAATTTCTTCATAGATGATAAGAGTTTTATCACTTTGAAAGACATACATAGTACGGAAGAGGAGTGCATTTTGTGCCAAATCACTTATACGAGTTAAGAAGTTTTCCATACATGAAGGAGCAACTCCTGACCCGCCGCCCCGCTGATGGTTCCTTTCAGTCAGATTGTTGTTCTACCCCGAGATTATTTTATTTACACAAGGTGGTGTCCAAGTGTCAACTGTTTAAGCTTTTTTCTTTCCTCGTCTGATAAAATCTCTCAAACAGCGTAACAGATTAAACAAACAACCAGAACACAACATCTTCCCAAAAATTATTGTTGCAAAAAAATCAAGAAAGTGATTCCTTTCACCTATTTACTGTGTTAATGATAAACTGAAGAACTTTTCTTCGGTTGAAAAGTTTCCTAACTCGGCTCCTTAACCTGGTCATCTGTTCTTAAACATATCACGAGTAAAAATTTTCCTTTATAGTTAGGTTTCGTTAGGTTTAATCTCATCCGTTTTTTGCATGTTTTTACCCAACAATTCCCCTCTACTTCAAACCTCTGTCCACTCATTGTGATCAAAATTTCAGTTTATAAGTAAAATCGGAAAGTAAAAAATAAAAAAAAAAAAAAAAAATCTGAAGAAAACTCTATAGATATTTTTCTCTCTCTATCTTCCAATATACAAATTAATATAGAATTCTGTGGTTGACCTTTACCTAATGTTTGACTTCCTTTCTGAGAAAAGAACCTTTACTACAGAGTAAACCTGACACTAGCGGCGGCTGTATTCCTCCTACATGTAAGTCTGGTTCTTGAGGTAATAAAGCTTTTATCTTCAATGGAGAAATTTCATTAGTTAGCTGCTGAGGCTGGAACAACATCTTGAATATTACCATAAATAGTAAAAATACTTACCGGTATTCTTGCTGGTGATGTCATCCCAAGCTCATTAACTATCACTTAACTGAGATCACATATTTTCACTTAACCGAGATCACTTATTTTCACTTAGACAAGAACGCTTTTTCAATTAACCAGGTTCACTTATTTTCACTTAACTGAGTTCACTTATTTTCAATTAAACAACATGACATATTTTCACTGAACAGAGTTCACGTATTTTCACTTAACTGAGCTCACTTATTTCCACTTAACCAAGTTCACTTATTTTCACTTAACTGAGATCACTTAAACTAGAACGCTTTTTCAATTAACCAAGTTCACTTATTTTTCACTTAACTGAGTTCACTTATTTTCAATTAAACAAGATGACATTTTCACTTAGCCAAGTTCACATATTTTCACTTAACAGAGTTCACTTATTTTCACT